TTGGTCTCCGGCCCGGGTAGGAACACACGTGACCGCATCCGCTACCGAGTTTATTGCAGAGGTTCCTTTTGAGGCTCATTAGAAATATCTGGCAGAGAGTTTCCCACGTGAGGCGAGGCGAGGCCACAAGCCTTTTCGGATCCAATTCTCGAGAGCACATTAGGCTTTTGAGGCGCCTCAAAAGAGCACATTAGGCTTTTGAGGCGCCTCAAAAGAGCACATTAGGCCTCCAGGAGTTGACATGACTGCTGCGAACTCTCCACGGGGGGGAGGATAAGTGTGGTGCTTGCTCCTGCACTCCTTTCCCCTCTCCCCCTTTCCCCCTCCCCTTTTCCCCCTCCCCCCCCTTCCCCCCTCTCCCTTCCCCCCTCCCCTAAACTCCATTCACCCACCTCACCCCGCCCCACCCCATCCCACCCCACCCCTCCCCACCCAGTTTCACCAAGTGGTTCACCAACGACATCAAGCTGCAACCCAATCCTCCTGTACCCCTTCCTCCCCACTACACCCTCACCCCCCTCTTCTCTCGCCCTTCTTTTCTCTGCCCAGTTTCACCAAGTGGTTCACTAACGACATCAAGCTGCAACCCAGCACCCCTTCCTCACCACTCCACCCACCCCCCACTTCTCCCCCCCTCTTCTCCCCTGCAGTTTCACCAAGTGGTTCACTAACGACATCAAGCTGCATCGGGGCACGGTCATTGACATCACTCGCCGCCCAGGCCATGTGCTAGAGACAAAGAGTGAGTCTGATAGGACCAAGAGATGCCGCTGAGGCCATGTGCTAGAGACATTGAGTGAGTCCGGCAGTGCTAGAAACAGAAAATGAGTCTGACTGTGCTAGAGAAAAAATCTGAGTCTCTGGTGCTAGAGACAAAACTTGAGTCTGCTAATGGGATCATCCTCGTGAGCCTTCACTCCTCTTTTCTACCGAGCAGCAACAAACATGAGAGCAGAGTGATGGCTTAAAGGTGTTTCATGTTTTTTACGTTAGCACAAACATGAAAGCAAAGACCAAAGCAACCTCGTTGTTCACTGGTGTCTGCTGACCACGCACTGTACTGCCCCCGCTGCCTCATTCAACAGTATGCCCATACATGAAATTTGATGCTACTGCACTTGTACCGAGTCAAATTCGCCTTCATTTCCTCACGTTCCCTCCCATTCCCTCCAATTCCCTCCCGTTCCCTCTCATTCCCTCTCACTCATTCCCTCGTACCCTCTCTCATTCGTATCACGCTCTCATCCGCTCCCCGCAATTCTTCCCTCCCAAATCCCCCTGCTCCCTCACTCCCACCAGTTGATGGCAAGTACATGGGATCCACTAAGAGCGCGCTTATATCGCGGGCGCTCTTTGAGCTCTATGTGGGGGACAAGCCGTTTGACAAGAAGGCGCGTGAGGGGCTGGTGGACAAACTCATTTCCGTCGTTCATGCGTAGGGCACTTAGAGAGGACTCCTGAAGCACCCCCGGAGCACTTCTTTCCTAGGGAACTCCTAGGAGCCAATATTTGGTGTCAGGAGGACTCAGCACAGCAGCATTTTTGCGAGTTCCAAGCATCTAGTGCAGCAGCGTACGCACCAAAGCTTACGGTGTTGTATATTTAATAAGGGACCCTACAGTAGGGCTTTAGGCCCCCTTGGCCCCATTTACTAAGGGTGACGGGGGGTGCATGCGTGTGTGTTGGGCAGGAATATTGGTGGTAATCCATGTGTTCAGAACACCCGCACCCATGTGTTTCACTGTACCTGCACCTACCGTATGTGTTTCAGCGAACCCCCACCCTTGAGGCTCCAGGGGAGCACCCAGCTGCACCCATGCGATGCTGGCTGCTCCCGCTTTTGGTGCCCTGCTCTCGTCTGCACCCAGCCATGAATGGTAGATCGGCGCAGCAAATGGGGCGTTCAAGAACAGATGACGGAATGAACTGTCAGGGACTGACAGGTCCCAAATATGGATCTCTGCAAGGTGGGGAATGAGTAATGTGATGATGATATTGCATTGAGCATGTCAGTGGATGTGGTGCATTTATCCACGCACGTACTCGTAACAGATTGTATACACTACCCCATTTGCTGCTACAGCTGATGCTCACACCATGCACGCGAATTTGCCTTGCGCCGGATGGATACGCTGCACCCGAGGTTGTTTCCCCAGCTTCATGCACCTACATTACAAGCGCGTCGCGTGGTTATCAACCAATAGTAACGAACATACCGAAGTCAAGCAGAAGAGACTGAAGTCAAACGAGGTAACAGATCTTGTTGAGAAGCACATGCGAATCCTTTTTAGCTAGCTGCGAATTGACGAAACTTATGCGAAATGCTCGTGACAGCTTATACGCCCCCTTCATAAGGCAACCGGGAGGGGCTCAAACAAGCATCAATTGTACCGAGCAGCGGCACCTGCGCTGACAACGACAACAGGCAGGCACCAGCCTGTGCAGAGCACACGACACGCTCACATCCTCCAATGAATTTGGAGTGTACATCGCCTGAAATTACAGTATCAATCTTCGATGCTGGTAAAATCTCCCTGTTCTGCGCGGCTACATGACGGTATGGATTTGACACGCTGTTCAAGCAAGGCTGCCCGACTGATCTAAAAGTTTCCCGTCTTGTGTAACTTTGTCTCTTTAATTAAGATCTGACCCCTCTGTGTTACATTCACCCAATTTTGCAAAGCACATCGAAGTCAACCCTGGGCAGGCGAGTGTGTACTGTAGCTCATGAAACACATGAAGCTTTTCCCACCGCGAGGGTGACGCCTGGCTTTTGCCCTCCTCAACCTCCGCACTCCAGCCAGGTACCCCGCCAAGTGCGTCCACCTGAACGCGGAGCTGACAGCGCATTCTCAATTCAATGCTTCTCGTAGCGCGCAAATCTTGGAAGCTGGGCATTCGAATCCATGACTCACGGAACCGCGGCATATGTTTTTTGCAGCGTTTTGTTACAAAGCGGCACCGTACTGAACGGCTTAGTAACGCCCTCACGTTGTCGATAAACACATTTCTCACTTTCATGCCAAGCATAAACACTGCTCGTCTGCTCATTTCTGCATCTGAGCATTGATTCACTCTGTGTTTTGACATTACGAGCCATTACAATCGTCAAAATCGATTCACCAGCTAGTTGTTCAGTCCGTAATGGGGCTCCAACGTTACCTTGGCGTGCCGATACTTCTCTTAGTCGTCACCGCATGTTTCAGCGGTGAGTGTCGCGGCATTTGCACGTGGCCGCGTTTCATGCAGTAAAATCTCTGAAAGCAACCTTCCCAGCAGATTCATCCCTTAGATGTCACTTTGATCTCCGAACCTCTTACGGTACCTTTCGCATGTTTACTTATTCGATACGTGACTCTCTCTTCCATTTTGCGCAGCCATAAACGCGGCGCACGGCCCCCCCGACGAGGCGGCCCTTCAAGACACGCTCCCTAAGTTAAAGGACTCGTTGGTTGTCGTGAACATGATCAAACCCATTGGCGCTGGTCCCTGTCTGTTACCCAAGCCCGAAAAGGCTCAAGCTCTAGGAAATTTGACTGGTGAGAGGCTTTAGTGAATCTCGCCAAGAAGCTTGGCGGATCTCGGGATCTGAGGGTTACCTGGGGGTTACCTGGTGGGTAGTTTGAGAGAACATTCTGGGGGATGGATTCAAGTTTTGCACAACTTCAATATTGCAGACGCTAGCCCTCAACTAATAGCTTCTTCAGCACACAGACACACACCCAGGCCGCATCATGTCTTCCCGTTCTTCAAGAAGTGACATCGCTCGTCCTCAGAATCTTCTTCCCTTTGTTTGCTCTCCTCCTCGCTTCCATTTTTCCACACTTCTCCAACCACCTCCCTCCAACCATCTCCCTCACGTCGTTCCGCCGCTCTCCCCTCCGCGCAGAGATTCTCGCCGCGCGATTGAACGGATCCAAAATTGTTGGGTCCACGGGCGACGTCGGCGCCAGCGGTCGAATTTGCCTAGCCATCTATGAGTAAGTCGCTGCGGCCAGCAGGAATAGTTGACCCTCCCGGTTCCAGACGAGTGGTCTTCCTCGCGAACCTCGCCGGCCAGGTTGGTTTTTAGCCTCAGCTCGTCTGTTCCAGTCGGTGATTTCAACTTCCTGTGCGATCATCTCTGAGCGATGCTTTCATCTCTCTTTGCGATCTCCTCTCTTAGCGATCATCTCTCTTTGCGATCTCCTCTCTTAGCGATCATCTCTCTTTGCGATCTCCTCTCTTAGCGATCATCTCTCTTTGCGATCTCCTTCTTAGCGATCATCTCTCTTAGCGATCATCTCTCTTAACGATCATCTCTCTTAGCGATCATCTCTTTTAGCGATCATCTCTCTTAGCGATCATCTCTCTTAGCGATCATCTCTCTTAGCGATCATCTCTCTTTGCGATCTCCTCTCTTAGCGATCATCTCTCTTAACGATCATCTTTCTTAACGATCATCTTCCTTAACGATCATCTCTCTTTGCGATCATCTCTCTTTGCGATCATCTCTCTTTGCGATCATCTCTCTTTGCGATCATCCCTCTTTGCGATCATCTCTCTTAGCGATCATCTGTCTCAGCAACCGACGCTTTCATCTCTGAGCGACGCTTTCATCTCTGAGCGACGCTTTCATCTCTGAGCGGCGCTTTCATTTCTGAGCGACGCTTTCATCTCTGAGCGACGCTTTCATCTCTGAGCGACGCTTTCATCTCTGAGCGATGCTTTCAAGCAATCCGAACCCCATCATTTTCTCTTCTTCTGGTCCCTTTGTGCGAACCCTGACTGAATCCGTCAGGCTAGACGGAGACTACAACGTCTTCTACCATGCCCTCATCTCCACCTCCAAGCCGGGTGTGCCGACCTCCGCCTTCATCGGGCAAGGCGCGGGAGGAAAGGCGGGGACCACCGTTCTCGAGATTGCCAGAGCCAGAGCCACGTGGAAAAATAAAACTGTTCCGCCCCCTCTAACGAAGGACCCGAGATACAAGTTTATACCCACATACACCTATGCCTTAATGGGAACTTGGCTGAAAGCGAGTGCGCTATCAACCTTGTCGAGTGGCAAGACTGTTAAGGAGCTAGTGGATGCAATGATGACAGCGCCGCGCCAGTATCATGGGGGATTCGCGACGGCGGCATTTAAGGCAGGAGCAGCGAGAGGGCAGTTCAAGAAAGATCCCCTTCCACCGGCACCTGCGGGGAAAGAGGGAGACAAGAATGACACACTCGTTCTAGTTGGTAAGTATCCTCCGAGGGTTTTTAGCAAGAGTCTTGCTCTTCCACACTTTGTGCACACGATAAGCAAACCCATTTCTCTCTTGCTCACCACAATGATTCTGTCACCACGACTCTATTCCTTTTTTACCTTCACTTACACTCCTGCTCTCCCCCTCGCTCAAGCCCCTTCCATTCTCTCACCATCTCTCCCCCACCCTCACCATCTCTCCCCCCGCCCTCACCTTTGACTTCACTCCCACAATCGTGCAGGGGTGGTGGGGACCAAGCTTGAGGACAAGAATGTTCACTCCAGGTCCCCTGGTGACATGTACGGCGCAGGCTGCGTTACTATCGCTGCCTTCCTGTAAGTCTCTCCTCCGTTTCCTCCTCCCCTCTCTTCCCCTCTCGCACTCTCTTCCCCTCTCTTCTCAACCTTCCCCTCTTCCCTCACTCTACTCACCATACACTTCTTCCCATTTAAACTGCACCCTGTTTCCCTCCGTACGCGCCGGCCCGTCCTCTGCCCACCTCCCACCCGTCCTTGCCCCTCCTTGCCCCTCCTTGCCCCTCCTTGCTCCTCCTTGCCCCTCCTTGCCCCTCCTTATCCCGCTCAGTAACACCACCAGCAACGACTACAGCATTCGCTACCGCATCGGGGTGAATACAAGCGACCCTGACGGGCCCACCGAGGTACTCTTAGCCCAGGGCTATGACGTGCCACTCACGCTGGTCAACGGGGGTGACACGTGGACCAAACACACTGTCCCGGACGCAAATGTGACTATCGGGTACATGTACGAAATCACCGGCAGTATTCCCGCGACGTACAAGGCGTTAATGAATGGAATGCTGGCAGCACCACAGGCTTTCTCTGCTGTTCTCATCACCAACTATTTCGACCTTGGTGCGCTGAGGGGTTGGTTTGTCAATAGTACTCTGGCGGGAGAGAACGGCTGCGCCATTGTTTAGGGGGTGAAGAGCAACAACCAGAACACTGAAATATGATGCACCCTCATGTTAAATGTAGAAGCTGGTTCTGGTGATTATTTTTATATATCATATGTATATATATAAGGTCTGGTGTAGATTAATGAAGGGACCAATATAACCAAGTCTGTGTGTGTATGTCTGCAGTACTGTAATTTTGCAGGTATACAGTACATTTAGTACATATTCCTGGTGCTCAATCCGAAAGGCCAATATGGTATGTCAGCGCATCATTGTGGTGCTAACCAATGTATCATACAACCGACCTAAACGGGTGCTGTGCTGTGCTGTGGGCATTGAAACCCCATGGAAGTTTCTCACAAGTCATGGTGGCGCAACCAGGGCTCCAAACAAGCTGTTACTTGGGTCTCTATGTCAGTATGGCTACCATGCTGGCCGCCACTCATACTCTCTGAAGCTTTGGGTAGAGAGAGAGAGAGAACCAAGCGACGCGCATGAAACCGCGCAAACCACCTGGTGTTCCACCTCCCCCGTTCCCCCTGCCTACCCCTCTCCCTTTCCATCCACCATCCCTTCGCACAGACACTCTCTTACTCAAACCCCTTCCCCTGCTCCATTCTTCCTCGTCCGTCCCTTCCTCTCAGCCCACTGTAGAGAAGCTGCTAAGGCAGCACGGCGGGGTCTGTTCTCTTGGCAATGCTGATTTGCCATCCAGCCATGGCAATCCTCCAGCCATGGAAATCCTCCAGCCATGGCAATCCTCCAGCCATGGCAATCCTCCAGCCATGGCAATCATGGCCTTCAGCTGCTCCCTCTTGCCTCTCTGCCCTCCCCCTTCCCCACCAGCCTCTCCCACAAGCCCCGTACTAGCAACAACCGCTAAGGTTGTGCAGTGGGATCGGCTCGCTTGGCAATGGTGACGCGCCCACAAGCCATGGCAATCCTCCAGCCATGGCAATCATGGCCTTCAGCTGCTCCATCTTCCCCATCTGCCCTCCATCCCCCCCCCCCTCTGCTCTCTCCTCCCTCCCTACAAATCTCTCCCACAAACTCTCGCGAGTCACATCTGCCTAAGGAGGAGCAGCAGGGTCTGTTCGCTTGGCAATGGTGATGCGGCCGCCAGCCATGGCAATCATGGCCTTCAGCTGCTCCATCTTGCCCCGCTCGCTCGCCTCATAGCTCGCCACACGCTCCCGCAACCCGCCCTCCTTGGCTGCTGCCCGCTGCTCCCTGCGCGCCTTCTCTCGAGCCAACCTGGTTTGGGGAGCAAGGGGGCGCAGAAAGGTGGATAAGACAAGGACTAGAATTAGGGCAAGGGCAAGCGCAAATGGATATCACAGCGCAACAGGTTTTTTTTTTTTTTTTTTTTTTTTTTTTTTTTTTTTCCACGAATCACCTCACACTCTTTGCTCTTTCCGTCATCCTCCACCTCACGTGCCGACTTGAGTGACACAAACAACAATCACCTAGCTCGAGGATCCACTCCCCCCTCCCCAAGCACATCCCCAAGTCAGGGCTCTGCTCCCTCTCTCGCGCACTCTCCCTCTCCCACTTATTTACCATCCTCTCTGCTTCTCACCTGGCTTGGAAGTCAGCCCCCTCCCCCAGCACATCCCCCTCGCCCATCCCCAAGTCAGGGCTCTGCTCCCTCTCTCGCGCACTCTCCCTCGCCCACTTATTTACCATCCTCTCTGCTTCTCACCTGGCTTGGAAGTCACCCCCCTCCCCCAGCACATCCCCCTCGCTCATCCCGGAGTCAAAGCTCTGCTCCCTCTCTCGCGCACTCTCCCTCTCCTGTCACAGGAAACTAGAGATTCGATCCAGATCCAGCAGACCAAGCTCGTCCTATCATCCACTATTTGCTATTTCCTTGGTGCCTAGGCAAGGTAGAAATCAGGTAGACAAGGGAACATCATTCCCTTCATCTCTATCCTCCCCCCTCACCTGGCTTGGAAGTCATCCCCACCGCCCATCACATCCTTCTCCTTCATCCCCATCTCAGGGCTCTGCTCCCTCTCCCTCGCACTCTCCCTGCGCCGCGCCATTCTTTCCGCGATCACCGCCTCTCGCCCCGTCTCCCTGGGAACCACCTCCTCCAGTCGCATTGCCTGCCTCTCCCTCTCCCGCTTCCTCTCCATCCTCTCCCTCGCTTTCCTCTCCGCCCTGCTCTCCTCCTCATCCCCCTCCCCTCCCGCTTCCAGCCCTCCTCGACCTGCTCTCCCTCCACTGGTGCCCCCAGCGCCCCAGGCCCCCGTTCCCCCTCCTTGTGCTCCCCCCAACCCCCCAGCTCCGCCCACTCCCCCCGCGCCCGCCCCCCCCGCTCCCCCTGCTCCCCCTGCCCGTCCCCCAAGGCCCCAGTCGTGGTTGGTGCGGGGGGCAGCCGCAGCAGTGATGGATCCATCGTAGTAGTTTGGTGGAAGCTTGCCGGCATTCCAGGTGCAGACAAAGAGGGAGAAGAGGGAGTGCGTTTGCTCCGAGGAGAGCGAGGAGAAGAAGAGGCGCTTGGCTTGTAGCAGCCAGGTCGAGAACTCGGGGTTGCGCGCGAAAAAGTCCGAGTCGGAAATTTGGGGCACCTGGAGGAGGAAAAAAGAAGGAATCGACCGGAAAAACAGTACGACAGAAGGGGTGTGGGATGGCGGGAAAGAGGTGGACAGAGGGGGGCAGGGGGGGGCAGAAGAGTGAAGACAGGTGTGAGAGGGGAGTGAGCTGTGTGAGGTGGAGTGGAGAGAGGGGTGAGCAAGGGCGAAGGGGGTAGGTGGGGTATGGGGAGCAGAGTTGAGGAGGAGGAAGAAAAGAGAGTTCGATTGTAATTAGGGGCGCAAAAGAAAGATGTAACGAGCTCGTTTGATGCACACCTCTGGGTCGGGTGCACGCACAGCCTCGGGATTGGGTGTACGAACCTCGGGATTGGGTGAACGAACATCGGGATTGGGTGTACGAACCATGGGATTGGGTGTACGAACCTCGGGATTGGGTGTACGAACCTCGGGATTGGTTTACGAACCTCCGGATTGGGTGTACGAACCTCAGGATTGGGTGTACGAATCTCAAGATTGGGTGCACGAACCTCGGGATTGGGTGTACGAACCTCGGGATTGGGTGTACGAACGTCGGGATTGGGTGTACGAACGTCGGGATTGGGTGTACGAACCTCGGGATTGGGTGTACGAACTTCGGGATTGGGTGTACGAACCTCGGGATTGGGTGTGAGGTCCTCCTCTTCCTCCTCCGCTACCCCTGCCTTGGTTTTTGTGCCTGCCTCCTCACCACCCTTCTCCTTTCCCTTCCGCTTGTGCTCTGACCCATGCAGTACACCCCATGCCATGCACCCCATGCCATGCACCCCATGCCATGCACCCCATGCCATGCACCCCATGCCATGCACCCCATGCCATGCACCCCATGCCATACACACCCCATGCCATAAGCAGCAGCGACACAAGCAGACAATGGAACAAACAGGCACGCAAGCTGATCAGCAAAAGGAGGAACGGAGATTGGTCCATGGAAGGGAAAGCACAGCTTCAGCGGAACCATTTATGCGTATAGTAAAGCAATTACTCCAGGACGGAACAGCACGGGAGGTGAGGTTCACGTGGCGTTTCTCATGCTATTCCGAGGTGCAAGAGGAACCAGAGATGATACCGGACCGGACCAAACTGCATGAATCAAGTACCTGCTGAATCTCATGAATTTACTCTCTAATCTTAAACCCACCGACCTCCCTACAAGCTTTTTCGCCTCCTCCTCACTCACCTTTAAGAAGCTTCTTCGCCTCCTTGAGAAGCTTCCTCTTCTTCCGCCTCTCCTTGCGCTTTTTCCTCCTCCTCCGCTCGTCCTCGCTGCTGCTGACGTCACTCTCACTCTCCGACGAGGAAGCTGAAGTGGCATCATCATCATCATCATCATCATCAGACGACAAGCTGCTGCTCCGCTCTCTCCGCTTCGACTTCTTCCGTTTCCGCTTCTCCTCTTCTTCCCCCGTCCCTCCCCCTTCCGCTCTCGTTTCCCCTTTTTCTCCTCTCGCTCCTCCCGCTCTTCCTCCCTCTCGCGTCGCCGTCCGGGCTCCTTAGTCTCCCTCTGACTCTCCTCTCGCTCCTCCAATCCCCCCTCCCTCGCGCGTCGCCTCCCAGAATCTATCTTCTCCCTCTGTCTCTCTTCTCGCTCCTCCGAATCGTCCTTGACTTCCCGCTCTTCTTTTCTCCTACGCCCTTCACCCTTTGGCTCCTTCAACGCGTCTTTATCCCTTGACGACCTCGCGTCGCCATCGCGCCGCCGCCGCTTCTCGTGCCTCCGCCTGGCGCGCTCCTCGCTGTCGCTATCTGCGGCAATTACGGGCAGGACAGAAACGAATCCGGCGAAACCAATAATGGGAAAACACGTTGACTCACGAAAGCGTGGCGAAGAGCGAAGGATAGCAAGATGCGAGTGAGATCTACGCGCGTATTAACAAAACGGTCAACGAAAGCGGTCCATGAAGTCATATAATGACGCGACGAGCGCGGCACGAATCTCGCTGCGCGCCACAGCTCGCAGCGCATCGCACCTTCGCTGGATTCGCCTGCAGAGTCACGTCGCGCGCGCTTATCCTTGTCTCTCGCCATGCTCCCACGTTACTACCAACTGACGAAGTTGTGGAGATTAGCAGCCATGCATCTACGGCCCCTTAGCGCAATACAGGGAAAATCTAGGCGAGACTGGGTGTGTATTTCATTAGTGAGTATATTTATGATTGGGTAAATGTCTCAAAAGCTATGTGTATTTAGAACATTTTTTGAGAATAACGAGATTGCTCTTACCTCTTTTTCAAGCTCGTCCACGTCACCGCTTGCAGGTTCCACGGCACTGTCCCGCAAGACATCGTCAAGGCCCTCGTGACGAGAAGCAACCTACTGTAACCGCATTGGGCGGGGAATGGTTTTTCGTTGCCTCATGTCGCCACCGACACAAACCTGGCCAGACAGGATGTGCAGCGTGGGGAGAGGGGGACTTGCAAGAAAATTGCCGACCAGGCGAGAAAAGCCAACCACTAAGGAGAACAGAGTCGTAGTTGTGAATTGGAGATGTGTGGCTTTGATGGTGCGATCCTGGGATTGTCACGCCACGAAGAAATGTAGCCACCTGCTGCCACTCCTGCTGTGGCTGCAGCGTCCGTCTGGTTCGATTGGTATAACCTGCTCCGGGCTATTCTTGAAACGTCACGCATGATGCGACTTACTACAAAATTATCAGCCTGGACGTCTCGCTCGCAGCAACGCAAGCTTCCGTACATCCTTCCTCCCACTTAGCTTGGATTTCCCGTAGGCAGTAACGCAGCGCATCTGTTCCCTGCACTGGAGTTTCATTCATTCCCGAAAGTCGTACCAGAAGCAACCCAAATGCCACGTGTCAGCTTGACCATTTAATTCGCACGCAAAAGCTGGCTTCGCAGTTCCATGGCGGATGCTACGTGGCAGAAGGCGATGCTGCTCTTAGCTCTGACGGCGGCCCTTCAGTTGCGAACCGGTCGCGCGTGGTTCCAACCTACCCCGGGTACCACCTTCTACTGGCAGCTCTCCAACTCAAACCCTAACGTCGACGGTGCGTGACGCTGTAACGCGGACATAGTGTACTGCTGATCACGTCTATCCCATGAGATGGTAGGACATGAGAAACATGATTGTCGAAGACGAGTTTGTTTCTAATTTGGGCTCGCAATCTCAAGTAGTGAGCTCTAATCTTCTAATCGACGCTAACTTGCTTGGCATATCCCTGTCTCAGCACGCTGTGCGCTTTCTCACTTCACACAATTCAAACCGGCTCCCCCTCTCCCCCTTTCCCCCCCTTCAGTTATCCAAGTACTTGCCATGCCACGTTGCACAGTTGAGCACAGAGTATACTCTGCATCCCCCTCCCCCACCCTCCCCTCTCCCCCCTCCCTCCTTCCCTTCATTCCACCTTTCTACCACACGCTTCCGGTCTCATTCCCCGTGCTTGTTCATTCCATGGAACCTCTGAACCCGCTGATTCCCCCCCAGGCTCCAGTCAGCACTGGGTTTATGACGTGCCTTTTGACTTGACTCACATCGCAATTCACCTTGCTGACTCTCTCCTCCCCAGGTTCAATCGACTCAGCAGCCCCGCACGCATATAACGTGGACGGCCTCAGTATGCCGCCCGTGTTTCCAGGCGCCTCAAACTGTCTCGCTTTTGTGACTTGCGAGCCTCCTTGCTTCCCCTGCTGCTCCCTCCAGCTTCCATCGACATTGCTGACCACACAGAGGTGTATGTCGTGTCATGTCTTTTGAACCGACTCAAATCGCAAGTCGCCTTGCTGAATCGCCCCCCTTCCCTCAACCTCCAGGTTCCATCGACACCACTGACCCCGCGGAGGTGTATGACGTTGCTTTCTGAACCGACTCAAATCACACACAACGCCGCTGAATCCTTCCCCCTCTCCCTTGCCCCCCCACCCCCAGGTTCAATCGACACCACTGACCCCGCTGAGGTGTATGACGTGGACGGCTTCAGTGTGCCGCCCAGCACGATTGCGGCATTGAAGGCGGGCGGCAAGAAGGTGGTGTGCTACTTCAGCTTCGGCACCTTTGAGAGCTACCGCCCCGACTCTGACAGCTTTCCCAAGCGCGTCAAGAAGGGGCGAGTGTGCCAGGTGGGTGTAGAGAGGAGGTGTTTTTTTGCTATCTCAACTCTAACATCAAGAAGTTCCGCCCTGATTCTTTAACCTCCCCAATCCGCACTTGTTTCTCTGTCTCCTCAACTCCCCCAACCCAACCAACTGCATGCACCTCCCTCAGAAGCACTGGTGCCTCTAGTTACTTCTGAGCAGACTCAAAGTCAACCCAACCCAACCCAACCCACATGTGTCCCCCTCAGGACCGGTGGTCTCGCATGTGGTGGCCGGGGGAGTGGTGGCTGGATGTGAAGGACCCGGTGGTGCCTCAATTGTCTTCTGAGTTTACTCAAAATTCATACTCCCCAACCCATCCCAACCCGGCCCAACCCAACCGCGTGTATGAAACCCCCTCAGGACCGGTGGTGTCGCAAGTGGTGGCCGGGGGAGCGGTGGCTGAATGTGAAGGACCCGGTGGTGAAGCGAATCATGGAGAAACGCGTGCAGGTGACTGGAGGGAGCAACGTGTGCAGGTGACATTAACGAGAAATGGGTGCAGGTGACTATAGTGAGAAACGCGTGCAGGTTACTGTAACGAGAAATGGGTGCAGGTGATTGTGGTGAGAAACGGGTGCAGGTGACTGCAACGAGAAATGAGTGCAGGTGACTGTAGGGAGAAACGCGTGCAGGTTATTGTAACGGGAAATGGGTGCAGGTGACTGTAGTGAGAAACGTGTGCAGGTTACTGTAACGAGAAATGGGTGCAGGTGAGTGTGGTGAGAAACGGGTGCAGGTGACTGTAACGAGAAATGAGTGCAGGTGACTGTAGGGAGAAATGCGTGCAGGTTACTGCAACAAGAAATGGGTGCAGGTGAGTGTGGTGAGAAACGGGTGCAGGTGACTGTAACGAGAAATGAGTGCAGGTGACTGTAGGGAGAAACACGTGCAGGTTACTGTAACGAGAAATGGGTGCAGGTGAGTGTAGTGAGAAACGGGTGCAGGTGACTGTAACGAGAAATGAGTGCAGGCCGTGACTGTAATGAGAAACGCGTGCAGGTGACTGTGGCAAGAAATGGTTGCAGGTGAGAGTAGGGAGAATGTCAGGTGACTGTAGCAAGGAATGGTGTGTGGTGATTGTGATGGAGAGACAATGTTTGCAGTGCAAACGTATATCAGTGAATGACAAATCGAAATGGCAAGTGCAGTGAAGGAGATATCCCTCTTCATTCCTTTTGCTCTGAATCCCCACCTCCCGATCGCAGCTAGCAGCCAGCAAGGGGTGTGTTGGCGTTGAGCCGGACAACATTGACGCCTACAGCATCCGCCTCAACAACAACACCCTCTTCACCTCTTTCTGTTCTGAATCTCCTTCCTTTCTTCTTTCCGCCCGTCCTCCTCGCAGCTAGCAGTGAGCAAGGGGTGTGATGGCATAGAGACGGGCTGCATCGACGCGTACAGCAACCGCCTCAACAATATTCCACCACCCTCCACTGCCTTTGACTCTGAAAATATCCCTCCTGGTCGCAGCTAGCAGCGAGCAAGGGGTGTGACGGCATAGAACCGGACAACATCGACGCCTACAGCAACCGTCTCAAGAATCCCCCCCCATTCCCCCTTGCACCCACTCCAACCCCACCCTCACCGCCGCTTTCCTCTTTGGGCCCACTGCCTGCAGCTAGCAGCGAGCAAGGGGTGTGATGGCATCGAGCCGGACAACATCGACGCGTACAGCAACCGCCTCAACGTGTGGCTGCCGCCCTTCTCCAGGACTGTGCGCATCAGCAAGAATGACCAGATCCGATACAACGCGTGGATCGCTGACACTGTGCACAGGTGGGTGGGTGGGTGGGTGGGTGGGTGGGTGTGTATCAATGTTAAGCTTTTCCTTACGGGTGACTGCTAGCCTTTGCAACGCGAGTGCGCATCCGCAAGAATGACCAGATTCGGTACAACGCGTGGATCGCAGACACTGTGCACAGGTGGGTGGGCATCTTGCGTTGTGTATGTGTTGTGTGATTAAATGTGTGCTGTGCTGCACTGCGCTGTGCTGTGTTGTGTTGTGTGTTGAGCGCACATGGATTCGCACATGGATGTGTTGTGTTGTGTGTTGAGCGCACATGGATTCGCACATGGATGTGTTGTGTTGTGTGTTGAGCCCACATGGATTCACACATGGATGTGTTGAACGCCACTCCAAACAGCGTCCCTGCTCATCCGCCCAGCACACCCCACCCGTTCTTCCCTGACTGCCTCATCGCTCCACTGCTACCCTTCATCAGGCACGGCATGAGCGTGGGGTGGAAAAACGCCCTCACTAAGGCAGTGGCGCTGGCAACCAAGTTTTGACTGGGAGCTGGTGGAGGAGTGAAACGCGTTCAGTGACCGCCCGTCCCCCCCAGTCTCCAATGTGCCCCCCCGTCCCTTGCATCAGGCACGCCATGAGTGTGGGGCTGAAGAACGCCCTCACCATTGCAGGGGCGCTGGTGGCTAGGCTAACGTTGGTGGCTAAGTGCCGAGGCAACATGCTCTCTCAGTGCCCCTTCTCTCCCTTCTTCTCCCCCGTCCCTTGCAACAGGTATGGCATGAGTGTGGGGCTGAAGAACGCCCTAACGATCGCAAGGGCGTTGGTCTCCAAGTTTGATTGGGCTCTGGTGGAGGAGTGTAACGCGTTCAGCGACTGGAGCGGTGGGGAGTGGTACAAGGGCAAGTACGAATGCGACTATGCAAATGTGTTCATCAAGGTGAGAGAAATGGGGGTGGGATGGCGGGATGGCTGGGAGCAAAGGGGAAGCATGCAATGGGCTCAGGAAAACTACGAGTGGGACTTCGCCAACATGCTTGTGAAGGTGAGGAGGGGAGGAGGGATGGGGGGGAAGAGGTAGTGCGGGGAGCGCTTGTAGTGGGCCACCAGTTTTGCCAACCCAAGAAGCAAGAGTGGTTGGTTGTATACCAATGCAAATTGCGACGCAAATGTGCTGGTTGACATGCGAAGGCGAGGGGTAAGGTGACTGATGCTTTCACGCCAACACCACTGTGTTCGTGGTGACGTACACATCAGAGTGACCTACTGGATCCCCCTTCTTCCCCTATCCCCTTCCCCTCATCCCCTCTCTCCATCCCCCCGCTCTCTCCCTCCCCTCGGCCAACAAGGCTGAACTTGTGGCAGAGTAAACACTAGTGCGACCTTCTGGGTCCCCATTCCCCTCGTCTTCCACCCTCTCCCCCTCCCCCCACTTCCCCCACTCCCGCCACCCACCAGGCGAACAAGGCGGTGTTTGTGGCGGAGTACACATCGGCATGGGGAACTGCAGCAGGGCGCATGAATGGCATTCAGTTCCCCCAGGTACGTCTTGCAGGCAGGCAGCACACGCTCGACTCCAGGAAAGCTGAGGGGTGCTTGAATTGGCAGGACTTAGTGCCCCAATGCGGGATGTTTCAGAGTCTGTGTCATCGAAAAGGGAATGTGTGCAAGTCGTGTGAGTGGAACGCAGTCAGGCGAGTGATTTCAGCTCCATCTCACTAGTCTGATAGAAAGTTTAGACATGGAGCCACTGACATGGCATGGTGCCCGTGACATGGCATGGTGCCTGTGACATGGCATGGTGCCCGTGACATGGCATGGTGCCCGTGACATGGCATGGTGCCCGTGACATGGCATGGTGCCCGTGACATGGCATGGTGCCCGTGACATGGCATGGTGCCCGTGACATGGCATGGTGCCCGTGACATGGCATGGTGCCCGTGACATGGCATGGTGCCCGTGACATGGCATGGTGCCCGTGACATGGCATGGTGCCCGTGACATGGCATGGTGCCCGTGACATGGCATGGTGCCCGTGACATGGCATGGTGCCCGTGACATGGCATGGTGCCCGTGACATGGCATGGTGCCCGTGACATGGCATGGTGCCCGTGACATGGCATGGTGCCCGTGACATGGCATGGTGCCCGTGACATGGCATGGTGCCCGTGACATGGCATGGTGCCCAGGACATGGCATGGTGCCCAGGACATGGCATGGTGCCCAGGACATGACATGACATGAGGCTTAACATCTCCCACCCTGCCACCTTTTCCCCCACCTCCCTTGGAACCTCCCCCACCCCAATTCCCCCTTCTCCGCCCTCCCACACCCTCCCTCTACACCACCGGTTCTTTGCCAATTCAGGAAGTAATATGGTGTGGTTGTAACCGTCCCTCCACCATCCCATGCTACGTCCAGAGCTTCTGCACATGCTTGGGCTGCAAAGACGCGATTTTCGTCTCTCTTCCTTCTTTTCATCTTGCAGACAACGCACACGGCTTCTCCACAGGAGCGCACGACCTGGAATTCCCAAGCCTGTGCCTAACTCCTTTTTTATTCATCCTTCTTCCCTCCCCTCTTTCTTCCCCCCCTCACCCACTCCCTGTCTCTCTGTCAGCGCCTGTGTGCTGACAACAACGCGCATGGCTTCTCCACGCGTCTCCACGACTTGGATCTGGGCCCCACCAATTTCTCCTGGGCGGACTGCCTGCAGCACCAGCCAGCAGGGTGCACTGCCGCTGCCTGTGCGTGTGTGTGGACCAAGGACGTGCACAGCCTCTGGATGTCCCTGGGCTGACAAGACATCATTTTTCTCTCCTCCCCTTTTACCCAACCCTCCACCCTTTCCCCCTCTTCCCCCACCAACCCCCCTTTTGCTCCCCTTCTCAGCGCCTGTCTGCGGACAACAATGCACATGGCTTCTCTACACGTCTGCACGACCTGGATCTGGGCCCCACCAAGTTCCCCTGGGCGGACTGCCTGCAGCACCAGCCAGCAGGGTGCGCTGCTGCTGCCTGGCAGCTGTGCGTGCAGCCAGCTGTATACGCCGGGTTTAATCAGCGCGGGAAGGGTATGTCCGGTGCGGACCAAATAGGTCAATGTGTGCGCAGTAAAATTTCGAGCTGTACATACGAATGATTATTTTCGTTTTCCCATTCTGCAACTTTCCTCAAATGGATGGTACAGCAGTACGTCTATTTATCTGTATATATGTAGATATTGTCAGAAACTGAATTGTTGGTTCATTGATGTGAGTTGGGGTACATATAGCAAACCCTAACATTTGTACCCCCTAAGACAAACCTCACTACAGGCTACAACATCTGACAGATATGTAAGGGTACATTCCGTTGTAGAATATGTCCCAATCGATGTGTCCCAATCGATTGAGACGCGTACGTGCAGCATATGCTGCCAGGTGTCGGAATGCCGGGCCGCCCGTGGTTCTTGCCAAATGCATTTATCATTGGGTGACGTGATTCACGGAACAATCGCCAGCTAATTGCAACACGTTACACACCCCATCATTCGCACACGGTGCCAAATGTCATCTCATGCAGCATGTATCTGGACAACATTTTGCGTAACCCTCTATCCCCATCAACGCGTACACAGCGTTGTGATTGGTCGAGACGACACAACCGGAATTATTGACAGTGTCAAACTGTATATGTTATATACTTGTGTAGGCTGTAGTGGGGTAGCCCATAAAGGGTACAACCCAATGTTAGGGTTAGCATATGTACCCAACTCTGTTTCAATTCAAGTCATTCCTGTCTCTAGTTTCTAACATGGTTTCAGAGCAGTAGGTCCGTAGGACCGTTTTTTTTTTTTTTTCGGGCCCACCTACCACTACCCCACGAATGTGCCTGTGACTGTCACGCCTCCTGTTTACTGTTGTCCCGCGCGTGTTGCCATTCGAGCCCGCGCGCACCTTCCTGCACGCGCGTCGCTCTGCGCAGTTCGCTGCAGCCGCGCGTAGCCCGCCCCGAGCCCGCACAGCCCGCGCCGAGCCGCGCGCAGCCCGCTGCTGCCGCGCGCAGCCCGCGCCGAGCCCACGCAGCCCGCGCCGAGCCGCGCGCAGCCCGCCCCGAGCCGCGCGCAGCCCGCCCCGAGCCCGTGCAATCCGCACCGAGCCGCGCGCAGCCCGCTGCTGCCGCGCGCAGCCCGCGCCGAGCCGCGCGCAGCCCGCGCCGAGCCCGCGCAGCCCGCGCCGAGCCGCGCGCAGCCCGCTGCTGCCGCGCGCAGCCCGCGCCGAGCCAGCGCAGCCCGCGCCGCGCCGCGTGCAGCCCGCTGCTGCCTCGCGCGCGGCCCGTAGCAGCCCCGCGCGCTGCCCCGCACAGCCCGCGCTGAGCCCACGCGGCCCGCACAGCCCGCGCCGAGCCGCGCGCAGCCCGCTGCTGCCACTGACGCGGCCCAGCCCTGCACCTGCCTCGGCCTCGACCTGCCGCTGATGCGGCCCCGCCCTGCAGCTGCCACGGCCCCGACCTGCCGCTGATGCGGCCCCGCCCTGCAGCTGCCGCGGCCCCGACCTGCCGCTGACGTGGCCCGACCCTGCGACTGCCGCTGAAGCGGCCCCGCCCTGCAGCTACCACGGCCCTACTCTGCAGCCGCTGTTGCGGCCCCGCCGTCGTCGCCGTCGTGAGCCTACCCGGCCGTCGCCCGACGAGCGCCTGACCTTCCAGCCTTTGGTGAGCACCTGCCTGCCTGCCTGCCTGCCTGCCGGCCTGCCGGCCTGCCTGCCTACCTGCCGGCCTGCCTGGCTGCCTGCCTGCCTAACTACCTGCCTGCCTGCTTGCCTGCCGGCCTGCCTGCCTGCCTGCCTGCCGACCTGCCTGCCTGTCTGCCGCGCCTGCCCTGCCCAAGCTGCCTCTACTACTACAGCTCTTAGCAGGTGGCCAGATGCAGCTCCAGCGACGTTCCCGCGAGTCTCTCACGCCCCAGCAGCTTAGTGAGTGGTATACTAGTTGGGGCTGTCGCGGTAGCCGTCGTAGCTGTCGCCTTGGAGCTGGTCAGTTGGGAGCGTCTGGCAGTGGCCAGCTGCAGCTACAGCGGCGTCCACGCGAGACACTTACGTCCCAGCAGCTCCATGAGTGGTACGCTCAGAGTCGGGGGTCTTTGAGTACAGTTCGCTGCTCGTACGTCATTCGCACAGGTGATAGGACTGGTCAGCCTTGCGGGACGCTTAGTCACACAGAGTCCCGCTGCTTCGCCCGTCTGAGCGATGCCTGGCGTACCGTGTTTGGCGACGAGGCTGAGCTCCCCGCCTGGCTGGAGCTGCTTGGACAGAGGGTCGATATCTTTGCTCTTGACTATGATGCTATTCTCACTGCCATGTATGCATTGCCTACTAGTGTTGACCGTGCCTGTTACCTGTGCGTACCGCCTGACCCTGGTATAGCGCCTGCTGCTCTCGGTACTGGTGAGGCTGCTGCTCTAGGTGCTCGTGCGTCTCCTACTCTAGGTGCTGGTGAGGCTGCTGCTCTAGGTGCTAGTACGTCTCCTGCTCCAGGTGCTGGTGAGTCTGCTCTCTCTGGTACTGCGCCTGCTGCGGTCTTGCACACCTTCACCCTTGACTCAGGAGCTACCCGCTCCTTCTTTCATGACTGTACCACACTCACGCCGCTTAGTCGGCCGGTTCCAGTCTCCCTGGCGGACCCCTCCGGGGGTCCAGTCCTTGCCCACTACTCCACGGTTCTGCCGTGTCCGGCCGCCCCGTCTGGCTCGCTGTCAGGTCTTTACCTCCCCTCGTTCTCTACGAACTTGGTGAGTGGAGCTGACCTCCAGGATAGGGGGGTTCACCAGTTCACTCCTGCGAGTCAGCGAGTGACTCACTGTACGTGTGCTCGGACCGGCCGACACCTGGCCACGTTTTCCCGTGCGCCTGGCTCGAGTCTGTACACACTGACCACTGAGTCCCCTCAGGTAGCTGCGTCTGCGTCTGCGTCAGGTCAGCTGGCGGCCCCCTGCGAGTGTCGCGCTTTGTCGCACCAGACCCTCCTGTGGCACCACCGCCTTGGTCACCCCTCGGTGCAGCGCCTTCGTGGCATGCACTCTCGCTTCCTGGTTTCTGGTCTTCCCAGGTCTTTGCCTGCCCTCCCTCCCTCGCTTGCGCCGCCCTGCATTCCTTGCGTCGAGGGGCGGCAGCGCGCCGCTCCTCACTCCTCCTCGTTCCCTCCCACAGAGGCTCCCCTGCAGACTCTCCACCTGGACGTGTGGGGCCCAGCCCGCGTCCGTGGACAGGGCCACGAGCGGTACTTCCTGCTGGTTGTCGACGACTACACGCGTTACACCACGGTCTTCCCCTTGTGCAGCAAGGGGGAGGTCCCTGCTGTTTTGATCCCTTGGATCCGCGCTGCCCGTCTCCAGCTCCGCGAGCGGTTCGGGACGGAGTTTCCCGTCCTGCGTCTGCACTCTTTTAGAGGTGGTGAGTTCTCCTCAGACCTCTTGGCAGCCTTCTGTGCGGAGCACGGCATCCGTCAGACGTTCACGCTTCCGGCCTCTCCGCAGCAGAATGGGGTTGCTGAGCGCCGCATTGGCTTAGTCATGGAGGTCGCTCGTACCTCCATGATCCATGCGGCTGCCCCCCATTTTCTGTGGCCGTTTGCGGTCCGCTACGCCGCCCATCAGCTCAACCTCTGGCCCCGTGTCTCCTTGCCGGAGACCTCGCCCACGCTGCTGTGGACGGGGAAGGTTGGCGATGCGTCGCGTTTCCGGGTCTGGGGTGCTCGTGCCTTTGTCCGCGATACCACCGCGGACAAGCTCTCTCCCCACGCTGTTCCCTGTGTCTTCCTTGGCTTTGTCCCTGACGCGCCTGGTTGGCAGTTTTACCACCCCACCTCGCGCCGTGTCTTTGCGTCTCAGGACGTCACGTTCGATGAGTCGGTTCCCTTTTACCGTCTCTTCCCCTACCGCACTGCCCCTCTCCCTCCCCCGCCGCTCTTTCTCGCTCCAGGTGCTCCCCAGGTAGACCCCCTCCCCGCTCCCGGTCCTGCTCCTTCAGGTGTGTCTCAGGTAGACCCTCCTCCCTTACCTGCGCCGGTCGAGGTCACTGGTGACTCAGGTCCTGCTGGGGGTGGTCCTGCTCGGGGTGCTACTTCTGGGGGTGCTGAGCCTGGGGGTGCGGCGCCTGGGGGTACTGAGCTTGGAGGTACTGAGCCTGGGGGTGCGGAGCTTGAGGGTGTGGAGCCTGGAGGTGCTGAGCCTGCGTGTGAGGGGCCTGGAGGTGCTGAGTCTGGCAGTTCTGAGTCTGGGGGTGCTGTGCCTGCGGGCGTTGGAGGTTCTGGAGCTGCTGGAGGTCCTGGTGCTGGTGGCGCTGGAGCTGGTGGTTCTGGGGCTGCTGAGGGTGCGAGCGCTGGAGGTTCTGGAGCTGCTGGAGGTCCTGGTGCTGGTGGCGCTGGAGCTGCTGAGGGTGCTGGCGCTGAGGGTGCTGGCACTGGAGGTTTGGGCGCTGTTGGGGGTGCTGGCGCTGAGGGTTCTGAGTCTGCTGTTGCGCGGTCTCCTTGGAGTAGCCGCCTTCGTCCGCGTGTGCCTCTCACCTCACAGCAGCTGCACGACTGGTACGGTCGCCGTCAGGGTCGCGCTTCTGGAGCTAGGGGCTCTGCTCCTGGAGGTCCTTCTGCTGCTGTCACTGGAGCTGGGAGTGGTGCTGGTCCAGGCGGTGCTCGTACTGGGGGTACTGGAGCTGCTGGGGCTGGAGGTGCTGAGCCTGCGGGTGCTGCTGCTGGAGACACTGCGGTTGGAGACCCTGGGACTGGAGGTGCCGGTTTTGGGGGTGCTGCTGCTGGTGGAGCTGGTCCTGGAGGAGCTGGTGCTGAGGTTTCTGGAGCTTCTGGAGGTGCTGGAGCTGCTGGGGGTGCTGGAGCTGCTGGTGCTGGTGGCACTGCCCAGCCGCGCCTGTTCTTTGCTCCACCGTCTCCGTCGTCTCAGCCGCCGCCTGACTCTGTGCTTCGCCAGGTTCTTAGTCTCCCTTCGTCTACTGGTCTTCCGTTACAGCCTGGCTCACCGCTGCCTGCTCCTTCTCCTTACACTGAGCAGGCAGGGGGTCTTGCTGAGCGTCGTGAGCCTGCGTCGCGTCCTGTCTCGCCTGTTTGTCCTGGTCGTACCGGTCGTCGTGTTCCTCGTCTGCGTCAGCCAGTTGTCCCCGGCACACGCCTTGTAGCCCTGCGTCGGTCCCCTACTCCGGAGCGTACTCCTCTTCCGTCTCCCCCTGCGTCCTCTTCGCTTGACGTCGCGGACCCTGAGTCTGACCGGTTTCGTGCTGAGCACCCTACTGTCACGCGTCTGCTAGCCACTGTTGTCACTGACCCGTCGTTTGAGTCTGCTGCTGCGTCTGCCCTGGTCGCTGAGCTTGTTGACTTTGCTGCTGCCTGTCGTCTAGACTACGCTGCTAGTCTTGTCACTGAGTATGAGTCTGTCTGTCCTCCGTCCGTCGGGGGTGAGTGCGCTCTTGGCACGGACGTCCTTGAGGACAGGCACGAGGACCTTGAGTGTCTTGCAGCCGCTGCGCCTCATCTCGTGGCCATGCTGCTTGCCCCTGAGGGAGACCCGGATGCTGTAGACATCCCGACCCCGCGCTCTTACGCTGAGGCGATCGCGGGTGAGTACTCCTCCCAGTGGCAGACAGCCATGGACGCAGAGATGGCATCCTGGAATTCCACAGGCACTTACGTCGATGAGGTTCCCCCTCCCGGGGCGAACATCGTTGATGGCATGTGGATTTTCAGGGTGAAGCGGCCGCCGGGTTCTCCGTCTGTCTTCAAGGCTCGTTACGTTGCTCGAGGCTTCAGTCAGCGAGAGGGAGTCGACTTCTTCCAGACCTTCTCCCCCACCCAGAAGATGACCACTCTTCGGGTGCTGCTGCACGTTGCCGCTCAGCGTGACTACGAGCTTCACTCGCTGGACTTCAGCACAGCCTTCTTACAGGGCAGCCTGCACGAGGAGATGTGGCTGCGCCGCCCACCTGGCTTCACTAGGTCGTTCCCTCCTGGTACCCAGTGGAGCCTCCGGCGGCCAGTCTACGGTCTCCGCCAGGCGCCTCGTGAGTGGCACGACACACTGAGGACTACACTTGCGGCTCTTGGGTTTGCTCCTTCGACTGCTGACCCGTCACTGTTCCTGCGCACCGACACTTCACTGCCGCCGTTCTACATCCTTGTGTACGTCGACGACTTGGTCTTTGCCACTGCTGACACTGAGGCTCTCGCCCTGGTGAAGTCGGAGCTGCAGAAGAGACACACGTGCACAGACCTGGGTGAGCTGCGCAGTTACCTTGGCTTACAGATCACCCGGGACAGAGCACGCCGCACCATCACTCTGACTCAGTCACACATGGTGCAGCAGGTCCTTCAGCGCTTCGGCTTCACCTGGTCCTCGCCACAGTCTACTCCTCTGGCTACAGGTCACTCGCTCTCTGCTCCACCTTCGGACGAGTCCGTAGAGCCGAGTGGTCCTTACCCGGAGTTAGTGGGCTGCCTCATGTACTTGATGACCTGCACTCGTCCTGACCTCGCGTACCCTCTTGGCCTTCTGGCACGCTACGTGGCTCCTGGTCGGCACCGAAAGGTGCACATGGATGCTGCGAAGAGGGTACTGCGTTACTTGTGCAGTACATCGGGCATGGGGCTCGTGCTTGGAGGGCAGAGAGACGTGGTCCTCACTGGGCACTCAGACGCTTCTTGGGTTGACGACCAGGCTACGCAGCGGTCGTCACAGGGTTACACTTTCAGCCTTGGCTCTGGTTCTGTTTCTTGGCGTTCTACTCGTTCGTCTTCTGTTCTCAGCTCCAGTTGTGAGGCTGAGATCTACGCCACCGCCATGGCTGCTCAGGAGTTATGCTGGCTCACCTACCTGCTGACCGACCTGGGAGAGCGGCCTTGTTCTCCTCCAGTGCTGTACGTCGACAACAAGGCTGCCATTGCCTTGTGTGAGGAGCACAGACTGGAGCACAGAACGAAGCACATCGCTCTGCGTTACTTCCTGGCTCGAGAGTTGCAGCAGCGTGGTCAGCTTCGTCTTGCACACGTGGCCACTCGGGCCAACACTGCTGATATATTCACCAAGGCACTTCCGTCTGGTGATCATCAGCGCTTTTGTACTTTGTTAGGCCTTGTGCCTACGTTTCCACACTTGCTGTAGCCTTTGTGTGTACTGTGTTCTATATTTATACCTGCATGCTTGCTCTTGCTAGGTATTGATCACTGTACTGCTCTTGTTGCATATATATATCTCTGCATGTGGACTGGCCTTGTGGCCCTTTGCTTGTGCTCAGTTTGTGTGGTGACGTTGTGATCCACCCTGAGCTTGTTTTGCGTTTCTTGACTGGTCTTGTGACCCCTTGTTCTCCCCCACTTTGCCTATGGGGGTGTGTCAAACTGTATATGTTATATACTTGTGTAGGCTGTAGTGGAAAAGGAGAAACACGCTGAGAGATTAAATGCTGCACTGGCGTAATTGTGGTGGTGCTGGTAGTGCTGCTACTGCTGGTGCTGTTGCTGTTGGTGCCGATGCTGATGCTGGTGCTAAATCTGCTTGTGGAGATTTTCTTTCTGGTGGCGGTGTGCATTGTGGGAATTCGGAATGAAGGGCTTTGGTAAACGCACAGCACTTGCAATCTGGTGAGGTCCTTTATTTTTGTTGGAAGTGATCCAAAATATGAGGTTCTCGAGACGTCGCTGGTGGGAAGGAGAGGGAGGACAGTGAAGGACAGAGAGGCAAGGAGAGGGAAGAAAGGAAGGTAGGATAGTGCAAAAAAATGGTAAGTCACCTTGAAACATCTCGAATAACAGGGCAAGGGCATGAGGTAGTGAAGACGGGTGAAAGAAGGGAAGGGTACAACCCAATGTTAGGGTTAGCATATGTACCCAACTCTGTTTCAATTCAAGTCATTCCTGTCTCTAGTTTCTAACAGACAGGAGTAGAAGTGTGCCATAATGTTTTCTAACCAATCACGGTGAGTCGCATATAATTGTCGCGCATGTGAGCAGAATCGCAATACATCGATCGATTGGGACATGCAGAATCGAGAAATTTGTCGCGCGACTCGGCTAAACTGTGATTGGGACACATTGATTGGGACATGGTTCACAGCGGAATGCACCCTAAGTTAAGTTATACGAGAGATTCTAATTGCGCATGAATGGGTTGAGTGTTCCTGAGCTTAGGTATTTAGTGGCCAGGAGTAGGAAATGCTAATGCATAAAGGCGTAAAGCTCGATTCAGGGTAACACTGGAAACTCTATAAGAAAAACACCATTATGGGATAGCTTAGTCCAACAAAAAACACGTTCTTTTGTTGCTAACAGTTATATGGTTTAAGTGTGTCTGTACGTTAGCGAGTACATACCGAGGGTCTCGCGTCGGCTTATTCGGCCTAAACTTTCGCCCGAACCACTTCCGAACCTTTGCTCACCTCTCCGAACCACTTTTTTCCCGAGCCCTCGACCAGACCGAATCTGCCTATTTTAGCCTCGGTCATCTTCCATTGAGTAGACTTTCGAAGTAGAGTTATGTGACGTTAGTAGAGTCCTGTAGATTTCTACGTAGCAACACAATTCAGTTCGTTTGAAAAACCTGTTCACTCATAGCACTCTTCCCGCAAATATTCGCTTTCTGCTCGCTGCTCTCCTCTCGCAGTCCCTACTTCGAACCTTTACTCAATCAGTCCTTTTCCTGAGAGATCACACTTCCATTCTGCCTTTCCTCTACCTAGTTTCCCGCGGAAATCGCCGACCAGTTACCCCTCGTTCCATCTCCCTTGGTCTCTCTCCTCGTCGCAGCCGGTCTCCTGTTTTCCGCCCATCGCCCCCCTCTTCCCCCCATTGTAGCGCCCGCCGCAATGAGCGCGAAAGCCGCCATCACCGCACGCGCCGTCAATGCCGCCGCATCACGCGCAATGTCCGCCATGCCCGTACTCAGCGGCATAGGTTCGCGATACGCCGTGCGCGCAGCCGCGTGCTGCCGGCCGCGCCGCTGCCTCCCTGCCGCCCCTGCGCGCCGATCTCTGCCGGCCCGAGATGCTGTCATCGCAGCCGTCCATCCGCACGACAACGGACAGTCGATGCCGCTGGGAACAGGTCGAAGCGGCAAGCGGATAGTGGGGATCACGGAACCAATTAGCCTAAGCGCATCAGCTTCGAGTTACTCTCAAGCAGGAGCGTTGAGCGGTGGGGAGCGGTGCAGGACGGTACGGGTGCGGGCAGAAAACACAGAGACGGGAGGGGGAAGCGGTGGAGGGGGAATGGGCGGCGGTGAAGGCGGAAATGGAGGGGGAGGAGGAGGGGGAGGAGGAGGGGAAGGGAGTGGCAAAGGAGATAATAAGGACACCGTCTGGGGAATGTGAGTGTAATGTGTGGCATGTGAAGGGCGATAGAAGCTTTTTACCAAATGTGACATGCGGGTTGGTGTGACGTGGCATGCACAGTCCACTAGACCCTCAGCACGCGTGGGGCACAGCAAGCAAGCATGGGGCACAGCAAGCAAGCATGGGGCACAGCAAGCAAGCATGGGGCACAGCAAGCAAGCATGGGGCACAGCAAGCAAGCATGGGGCACAGCAAGCAAGCATGGGGCACAGCAAGCAAGCATGGGTCACAGCAAGCAAGCATGGGTCACAGCAAGCAAGCATGGGTCACAGCAAGCAAGCATGGGTCACAGCAAGCAAGCATGGGTCACAGCAAGCAAGCATGGGTCACAGCAAGCAAGCATGGGTCACAGCAAGCAAGCATGGGTCACAGCAAGCAAGCATGGGTCACAGCAAGCAAGCATGGGTCACAGCAAGCAAGCATGGGTCACAGCAAGCAAGCATGGGTCACAGCAAGCAAGCATGGGTCACAGCAAGCAAGCATGGGTCACAGCAAGCAAGCATGGGTCACAGCAAGCAAGCATGGGTCACAGCAAGCAAGCATGGGTCACAGCAAGCAAGCATGGGTCACAGCAAGCAAGCATGGGGCACAGCAAGCATGGGTCACCCTCCTTCTCCTTCCTCACCCCCCTTCTCCTTCCGCACCCCCCTTCTCCTTCCGCACCCCCCTTCTCCTTCCGCACCCCCCTTCTCCTTCCGCACCCCCCTTCTCCTTCCGCACCCCCCTTCTCCTTCCGCACCCCCCTTCTCCTTCCGCACCCCCCTTCTCCTTCCGCACCCCCCTTCTCCTTCCGCACCCCCCTTCTCCTTCCTCACCCCCCTTCTCCTTCCTCGCCTGCACGCCATGCATTCCCACACAGCTACCTGCACCTGTTGGTCGCCAGCCATTAGCAGTCAATGCCGGCACATCCATGCTGCTCAATCCCCCGCCCTCCCACCTTCCGCATCTCCCCTTTTCGTTCCCCCTTTTCCTCTTTTCCGCATCTCAATCCATGCTGCGCGCAGCTACCTGCGGTTACTGGACCGCCACCCACTGGCAGTAAAGGCCGGTACATCCATGCTGCTCAATCTGCTGGGAGACCTCTTTTGCCAGGTGCGCTCATGAGGGAGGGAGGGTCGGGAAATGGAGGGAGGGAGGGAAATGGAGAGAGGGTGGGGAAATAGAGGGAGGGTGGGGAAATGGAGGGAGGGAAGGAAATGGAGAGAGGGTGGGGAAATGGAGGGAGGGCAGAGAGGGAGGGAAAATGGAGGGATAATGGAGGGAGGGAGGGAAAATGGAGGGGGCCTGTTTTTTTCTAAGGAGGCTGTTTGTGGCAATGCAATGCAATGCAATGCAATGTTATTTTGAGTCGACTGAAGAATGGCCCTATTGTTATGCGTGGATGCCATGGCATGGCATGGCATGGCATGGCATGGCATGGCATTGCATGGCATGCGTGACCCCATGGCGGGCAACACCAGGTGGTGGTGGAGGGAGGGCACAGCGTGGATGCGAGGAGGGCAGCCACCATCTCCCTGCTGGGGCTGCTGCTAGTTGGACCCACCCTGCACGTCTGGTAACCGCATTGCACGCCTGGAAACCACACTGCACGTCTGTTAACCGCACTGCGTGTCTGGTAACCACGTGCTGCTTTTAATGTCGCCTTTTCTGCGCTTCCTCTCTTCTCATTTGGCACTTTGACATATCCCTGCATCAGGTGTGCGGCTGGTTTGATTTGCCTCCATGCCCCATGTTCCAAATGTGCCTCCATGCCCCATGTTCCATATTTGCCGAGCCCTAGAAAGCCATGCTGCATCAATTTCCCAACTTCCTTACACCTTCCTTGCTTGCAACCTCTTGTTGCACTCTCCCTTGAATGGCATGGTTTGGTATGGCATGGAATGGGATGGGGTGGCATGGCATGGTGTGCCATTCTTCCCTGCACCACATGACGTGGGCATGGTATGGCATGGACAATGGCATGGCATGGCAATGCATGGGCAATGACACGCTATGGCACATGCATGCATGCATGCATGCAGGTACTCAGTGCTGTTCCGCATGGTGACAGTACAGGGCACTCCCGGCACTCTCATCCGCCTCGCCCTCGACCAGGTCACCCTCCTCCCCACATGCGTACTTTGCCCCACTCCCATCTTCTCTGTACTCACACCCATGCCTCTCCCACACGCCCATGCTTCTCGCATCCCTCTCGACGTTCGCTCCAACCATTACCTTTGCCCGCATGCCCTTTTAAGCTGCTTCTCAACCTCTACATGCATCTCCGCCGCTCATACATCTCCCCCTTCCGTTGCTCCTCTTGTCACCACCTGTGACACGGCTGCTCGATGCACATCAGCTGCTCTCCATCCAATCAACCTCTGTCTCTCTCCCCTCACTCCTCTTCCCTTGCCGTGCATCCTCCCCCCCCACTCTCATCTCCCCCCCCACTCTCATCTCCCCCCCCACTCTCATCTCCCCCCCCACTCTCATCTCCCCCCCCACTCTCATCTCCCCCCCACTCTCATCTCCCCCCCCACTCTCATCTCCCCCCCCACTCTCATCTCCCCCCCCAGCTGCTCTTCTCGCCGCTATTCATTGCCACCTTCTTATCCAGCCTCCTCACCCTTTGTCTCTCTCCACTTTCCTCTTCCCATGCAACCTCCATTCCCCCCCCCTCTCTCACACCCCCAACCCCGCCACCAGCTGCTCTTCTCGCCGCTATTCATCGCCACCTTCTTCTCCAGCCTCCTCACCCTTGAGGGCCGCCCTGCTGCCATCCCTGACGTGCTCAAGCAGGTGAGTGACTCAAGCAGGTGAGTGGTGGCAGCAGGTGAGTGGCTCGAGTTGGTGAGTGGCTCGAGCAGGTGAGTGCTGCAGCTTTCTTTTAGAATTCTCAAGAATCCGTGCCGTAATCAAGTGATTGCATCAAGCAGGTGAATGCCCAGGTTAGAGGCGACAAAAGAGGTGGCATGTGCTCCCTATGCTTCCTGCTCGAGTGAAATAGTGGTGTTTCTTAGTCTGCCTGCCACCTTCCTTTTCCCTGTCCCCCGCGCAATCGCCCACAGGAATGGGCCAAGGCAGTGGTGGCCAACTGGAAGGTGTGGATTCCCTTTCAGTTCCTCAACTTCCGCTTCGTGCCACTGCACCTTCAGGTGAGCGCTTACCAAAGCCAGTGCAGTAGCCTCTCTTTGCTACCTACATGGCAATTCACAATGCCCTGTTACTGAGTTGTTGCCGAACTGGAAGCAGAATGGTTCATCAGTTGCTCCTACACTCCGTTAATTTATTGCTCGCAAGGCTAGATAGAAACTAGTGGTCCATCGTATGCTGGGGCACTTCCGTGCATGCGTTCTACGACACGCAATGTTGCATAGTGCTGGGTAGGACAGCCTTAGCGCAGGATGCATCAGATCCGTCTCTGCTTTTGGTTAATGTGGTGGCTGTGTGCTGTACTACGCTGGTTAATGTTGTGGCTATGTGCTGCTTTGGTTTCATTGGATGGTGGCAGGTTGCAGCATCCAATGTGATTGCGCTGCTGTGGAATGTCTATCTCTCCTTTGCAAGCCATCGTGGTGCAAAGGAGATGTGAATTGTGAAACTTATACCGGTCGGTAGTGTTGCAGCTTCAGTGCTGCTGTGTCTTAGGAACGGTCCATGGATTGGGTGTTGTGAGTTGACTAGCGCCCTTCTTGTGTAGGCTATATCATGTAGCCCTTCCTAATACGGCATTTGTGAGCAAGTGGTATTGAAAAAAAAAATCCATGAATAAAAGGTTGCTTGTCTACCATGATTGTCTGGAACTAGACAGTCTGAAACAGGCATTGGTCCACAACAACAGGAATGGTTTGAAAGTATGGACAGAATAATACCTTTCAAGTGTACCTCCATATAACATTTCACACCTGTTATTTTCCGCTCAACCCCAACGCGGCGGTTGTGCTGTGTGTGTCATTTCCCTAGGGGAGGTGCTTCGGTCGAACAGGTCGTCTACATACACTCCCTTGAGCACGTCGCACCTTGATGCTGACTTGATGTCGTTCAATGTGCCCGACCTGACCTTCGCACCGCCCATCAGAACGAAACGCGCTTCGCCAAGGTCTAGCGAGCGCGCACACGGGTCACATCACAATTTGTCAAGTCCCATCTCATCAGGCTCCCACCGGATCGCGTCGTGTGATCTGAATCTGGAATCTTCTATTCATGCATATAACCGACTAGCACCAGCTTTCACCGTGTCGTGATCTCGTATCATTTGTGAATGTCTGCTAGCCGTTTCTTGCCGCCAGTGTTCAGTGCGCCTCCTGAATCCTGATCAGTCCCATCTCTTTCGTCCCCCTCCCCCCCAACCTTCCTTACTGGATTTGGTGTTTTAGCTGCAGTCCTTCCTAACCATAAGACATTCGAGTCAAGCCGAACGTGGTTGAAGGCGGCCGCAACGGCTTGGCCGTGGCTCTGCACAACAACCAGCCAACCATTCCTTGACGTCCACTTTGCCGCTACTGCCGGGCTGCGGACGAAGCTAATCAGGAGCCTCGGACAAACGCTTTTCCGACGTAGGCACACTTGGCTCCTCCTTCCGTCCCTTCCGTTGAGTCCTTATCATATGTTTCCGTGTCAATTCCCACCCCTCGCCTAACACTCGTAGTAGTCGTTTCTCTGTCCAGTCCCCCATTTGCCTCGTGCGGTTGTAACGATACGGCCACTCGAGTATTTTACCCCTTTCCTCTTGTCGTGACTTTATGTCACCTTATCGCCTTCTCTGGAACAATCCTTTAAGTAGCTCAAGTGTGTGGATTTACGTTTTTCACAAAAGTCTCTTAGCGCACACATGCACCACATCAGCAGGCGAACAGTCGCGGTGCAGTACTATCGCTAATATGTCAAGGGGGAAATAGCGGCTGTACCATCTACGGCTAACACACGTAGTACTATTAGTAGCATAGTGCTACAGTATCGTGCGTCCGACACGATGGGGCATCTTGAATCTCATCTCCTCCTCTCTCCCTCGCTGAAGCCCAACGCGACAGCGCAGGCCCTACCTCAGAACCTAGAGCATTTCAGACTCGTCGGATACGAATCCCCCTCCAAGCCCTCGTCGTCGCCCGTCAGCCGGCGGTTGCGAGCGTTCGTATCGCTCATCGTTCTATCAGCCATCTTCCTCGTCGTGTTTCTTTTCAACTTTACCTTTATCGCGTCCAGCGTGTCCCCGTTAGTGACTTACCTCGATAAAGCCACGGATTTAGAGGGCCCCGAGAAGGCCGGCGCTTCTTATTTAGGCAATGTGATGATGGAGTATAGTCGGAGGAAACAGCAGCCGCCGCAACAGGCGGGGAAGCACGCGCTTGCACAGCAGCAACAGCAACAGCAACAACAACAGCAACCGCAGTGGCGGCCGTGGAGGAAGCCGCCTGGAAAGATCGCGTTCCTGTTCATGACACGTGGCCCGCTGCCGCTCGCGCCGCTGTGGGAGAAGTTCTTTAAGGTGCGAGGGAGGGGGAGTCTGGGCGCGCGGAGGGTAGGCGCGCGGAGGTTGGTGCGCATGCGGCTGGCGGGTGGGGAGGGCAGGCGCACGTGGGGTTTGCGGGTGCGGAGGTGGCTGGACCCGACCAGGGGGTACGGGCGGGAGTGTGTAAATTGTGCTGCTCCGCGCCCGCAATTATAGTTGTCGTGTGACGCGGAATAAGGTGTGACTGACACGAAGGTACGCGGTGTGTGGGGTACCAGGCGTAGTGAGTGGCGGCGGGTAGAGGGCATATAGACACAGGCCTCAGTGCATCGATTACGAATCCGACGGATATCAGTGCGACGCGCTCTAGTGCGACAGGATTCAGTGCACGAGGGAACCCGACACGCGATCGGGAGGGACCTTTGACTTGAGCGAATCCATGAGAAGAATTCTGAGGCGCCGCAGAAATCGCGACTGGGAAAAGCCGAATTGGCCGAGTCCCCGAGAAGCCGTTGGTATGAGTTCCCTTAGCTTTTGATGTTTCTGAAACAACGCAGTTCTTATGAAGTAAGCGTTGAGTAGGAGTCCAGCCAGTCTAAGGGAAGCCGGCAGTAGCCCGCATCGCAGATTCCTTTTGAGAATTCTGGAGCCCGCCCGCGTCGCCGCGAAGCTGGCGAGGACAGGAAGAGCACGTTGATTACGGACGCGCGATTATCGATCTTTGAAAACGTCTCAAACCTCGAGGCGCGTAATCAGAGAGGCGCGATAGCTAGTCTGGAAAAAAAGTGATTGTCCTAAGGATGGCATGGGAATTCGGACTGGTTAGGCCGTCAAGCCGACGACACTTCAAGTCGTCCTGACACTCCGCTAGCCAGTCCAGTCCCCGTCATTGCTACGAAGTCGTCGCGTGGCGCGTCTGGTCGAGTCGCGGGAGTCATATCTGCTGATCCGAATTCCATGTGCGTTCTGAGTCGATGGAGTAGACGACTTTTGAGACGTCTCTAAAGGCATCTTCTATAGTCGCGGGAGTCACCGTTGCTGATCCGGATTCCATCCATATGTGCTTTGAGTCGACCCGACGCATCCATCGTCGAGTTGCTACGCTTCAAGTAACGCGAGTCGATCAGGCCGCGTCGCTTCAGGTCGTCTTGGTGGAATGCGTGCAGTTCTTGACGAGCTCGCGAGAATTGCCCGCAGCTACAAGGATCCTGATTCTCTGTTTGACCCGGCGCATTCGTCGGGTTGCGTCGCGTCAAAGTCGCCGCGGCCAATGCAGGTCCAATCACGAGACCTCGCGTCGCGATATCTTGGTCTGAGAATTCACACAAGTCCTCCATTTCCCCGCAGCGAATCTCGAGGCGGCTCGCAAGTCGCGTCAGCTCGACGCGATCCCGCGGTCAAGGCCCCCCGCTTCCGCATCCGCGCGCGTTTCTGCGTCCCCTTCCCCTCGCCCCCCTGAGGGACACAAGAGAGGCTTCTCCGCCGCTTTTCCATTCACGCGCCACGACGAGTCCCTTTTCACCCCTGCCCGCTCATCCTCCTCCGTCCTCTCCCCCCTACCCCAGGGCCACCACGGGCGCTTCTCCATTTACACCCACCCATCGACGTATCCGTCCTTCCCTCCCCCTCATACGCTCCCTCCCGGGTCCCCCTTTCCGCGGCCCCTTCTCCCCGCTCCCTCCCCCCGGGGCCACGAGGGGCGCGCTAGTCCATCTCCTTTCACGCGGGGACCTCTCAACACCTCCCTTTCCGCTCATCCGCTCCCTCTTCCCCCCTCCCCCTCTCTTCCCCCCGCCTCCTCCCCCTCCCCCCAGGGCCACGAGGGGCGCTACTCCATCTACATTCACGCGGCGGACCTCTCCTTCCGCTTCCCGCGCAACTTCTCCGCGCTCTTCCGCGACCGCATCATCAAAAGCGGCAAGGTGAGCGCATCGATAGGGGCAAGGTGAGCGCATCGATAGGGGCAAGGTGAGCGATCTAGCGACTGCGCGTGCTTGGTGTCTCGTACGCTGTACTGGCTTCTCCGCCGGTCTCTATAACCATCAGTGTAAGTGAAGATGCTTCTAGCGAGCTACTTGCTACCTTACCATACGCACGTGGTACATCGTATTATTCCTTGTAAATCGAATCTGCTCTGCGCCACGCGCAGCAGGTGCGGTGGGGCGAGACGCCCATGGTGGACGCGGAGCTGCTTGTAACGCGGAGGTGCTTGTAACGAGGTGTAATATTACAGTGTGTGATACTAGCCTTACTTTCGTTATTTGCCACAACGACCGGCAGGTGGTGTGGGGAGAGATGTCTATGGTGGACACGGAAATATATCTAACCTTACAATATCGTATCTAACCTTACAGAATCGTATCTAACCTTACAGTATCGTATCTAACCTTACAGTATCGTATCTAACCTTACAGTATCGTATCTAACCTTCCTGTGTCGTATCTAACCTTTCTGTGTCGTATCTAACCATCCTGTATCGTATCTAACCTTCCTGTATCATATCTAACCTTCCTGTATCGTATCTAACCTTCTTGTATCGTCTCTAACCTTCCTGTATCGTATCTAACCTTCCTGGTTCGTATCTAACCTTCCTGTATCGTATCTATCCTTCCTGGTTCGTATCCATCGGCCCTCTGCTTCGGGCTGGTCCGGCAGGTGGCGTGGGGCGAGATGTCCATGGTGGACGCGGAGCGGCGCCTGCTGGCGGCGGCTCTCAAGGAGCGAACCAACCACTACTTTGTGCTGCTCTCCGAGGCGTGAGTGCTGCTCTCCGAGGCGTGAGTGCTGCTCTCCGAGGCGTGAGTGCTGAGTGCCCCTGCTCTTCTAGGCGTGAGTGCTGCTGTTCGAAGTGCATACCCCTGTGGGACTTAGACACCATTTTCCACCTGCATCAACCCCACCTCCTCAGTTCCCCTTCTTGCCAGCACGCATGCCCCTCAACCCCCTCTCCTCCCCTCTTTGCCCACTTCCATACCACACTCATCCCACATTCAACCCCCCCCGCATCCCACACTCATGCCCCCCTGCATCCCACCAGGTGCATACCGCTGCATGACTTAGACACCATCGCCACCTACATCAATTCCTCCCATCCTCCCCATCGTGCGTGCACACATACCGCTCCACCCCACCTCTCTCTCCCCTCTTTGCCCAAACCCATGCCCACCTCCCATTCCCCCAGGTGCATACCGCTGCATGACTTCGACACCATCGCCACCTACATCAATTCCTCCCATCCTCCCCATCGTGCGTGCACACATACCGCTCCACCCCACCTCTCTCTCCCCTCTTTGCCCAAACCCATGCCCACCTCCCATTCCCCCAGGTGCATACCGCTGCATGACTTCGACACCATCGCCACCTACATCAATTCCTCCCATCCTCCCCATCGTGCGTGCACACATACCGCTCCACCCCACCTCTCTCTCCCCTCTTTGCCCACCTCCCATTCCCCCAGGTGCATACCGCTGCATGACTTCGACACCATCGCCACCTACATCAATTCCTCCCATCCTCCCCATCGTGCGTGCACACATACCGCTCCACCCCACCTCTCTCTCCCCTCTTTGCCCAAACCCATGCCCACCTCCCATTCCCCCAGGTGCATACCGCTGCATGACTTCGACACCATCGCCACCTACATCAATTCCTCCCATCCTCCCCATCGTGCGTGCACACATACCGCTCCACCCCACCTCTCTCTCCCCTCTTTGCCCACCTCCCATTCCCCCAGGTGCATACCGCTGCATGACTTCGACACCATCGCCACCTACATCAATTCCTCCCATCCTCCCCATCGTGCGTGCACACATACCGCTCCACCCCACCTCTCTCTCCCCTCTTTGCCCACCTCCCATTCCCCCAGGTGCATACCGCTGCATGACTTCGACACCATCGCCACCTACATCAATTCCTCCCATCCTCCCCATCGTGCGTGCACACATACCGCTCCACCCCACCTCTCTCTCCCCTCTTTGCCCAAACCCATGCCCACCTCCCATTCCCCCAGGTGCATACCGCTGCATGACTTCGACACCATCGCCACCTACATCAATTCCTCCCATCCTCCCCATCGTGCGTGCACACATACCGCTCCACCCCACCTCTCTCTCCCCTCTTTGCCCACCTCCCATTCCCCCAGGTGCATACCGCTGCATGACTTCGACACCATCGCCACCTACATCAATTCCTCCCATCCTCCCCATCGTGCGTGCACACATACCGCTCCACCCCACCTCTCTCTCCCCTCTTTGCCCAAACCCATGCCCACCTCCCATTCCCCCAGGTGCATACCGCTGCATGACTTCGACACCATCGCCACCTACATCAATTCCTCCCATCCTCCCCATCGTGCGTGCACACATACCGCTCCACCCCACCTCTCTCTCCCCTCTTTGCCCACCTCCCATTCCCCCAGGTGCATACCGCTGCATGACTTCGACACCATCGCCACCTACATCAATTCCTCCCATCCTCCCCATCGTGCGTGCACACATACCGCTCCACCCCACCTCTCTCTCCCCTCTTTGCCCAAACCCATGCCCACCTCCCATTCCCCCAGGTGCATACCGCTGCATGACTTCGACACCATCGCCACCTACATCAATTCCTCCCATCCTCCCCATCGTGCGTGCACACATACCGCTCCACCCCACCTCTCTCTCCCCTCTTTGCCCACCTCCCATTCCCCCAGGTGCATACCGCTGCATGACTTCGACACCATCGCCACCTACATCAATTCCTCCCATCCTCCCCATCGTGCGTGCACACATACCGCTCCACCCCACCTCTCTCTCCCCTCTTTGCCCACCTCCCATTCCCCCAGGTGCATACCGCTGCATGACTTCGACACCATCGCCACCTACATCAATTCCTCCCATCCTCCCCATCGTGCGTGCACACATACCGCTCCACCCCACCTCTCTCTCCCCTCTTTGCCCAAACCCATGCCCACCTCCCATTCCCCCAGGTGCATACCGCTGCATGACTTCGACACCATCGCCACCTACATCAATTCCTCCCATCCTCCCCATCGTGCGTGCACACATACCGCTCCACCCCACCTCTCTCTCCCCTCTTTGCCCACCTCCCATTCCCCCAGGTGCATACCGCTGCATGACTTCGACACCATCGCCACCTACATCAATTCCTCCCATCCTCCCCATCGTGCGTGCACACATACCGCTCCACCCCACCTCTCTCTCCCCTCTTTGCCCAAACCCATGCCCACCTCCCATTCCCCCAGGTGCATACCGCTGCATGACTTCGACACCATCGCCACCTACATCAATTCCTCCCATCCTCCCCATCGTGCGTGCACACATACCGCTCCACCCCACCTCTCTCTCCCCTCTTTGCCCACCTCCCATTCCCCCAGGTGCATACCGCTGCATGACTTCGACACCATCGCCACCTACATCAATTCCTCCCATCCTCCCCATCGTGCGTGCACACATACCGCTCCACCCCACCTCTCTCTCCCCTCTTTGCCCACCTCCCATTCCCCCAGGTGCATACCGCTGCATGACTTCGACACCATCGCCACCTACATCAATTCCTCCCATCCTCCCCATCGTGCGTGCACACATACCGCTCCACCCCACCTCTCTCTCCCCTCTTTGCCCACCTCCCATTCCCCCAGGTGCATACCGCTGCATGACTTCGACACCATCGCCACCTACATCAATTCCTCCCATCCTCCCCATCGTGCGTGCACACATACCGCTCCACCCCACCTCTCTCTCCCCTCTTTGCCCAAACCCATGCCCACCTCCCATTCCCCCAGGTGCATACCGCTGCATGACTTCGACACCATCGCCACCTACATCAACTCAACTGCCATCTCATACGTTGATGCGTGAGTGCTGCCTCTGAGGCCTGGCGCGTGTGGGGTATGGCGCGTGTGGGGTATGGGGCGTGCTGTGTAGGGCGAGGGGCTTGGGGGGTGCGGGGCAGGCAGGAAGGGAGCAGATGCAGCACCCTCCACCATCACCGTCCACCATCACCGTCCACCATCATCCTCCACCATCACCCTCCACCATCACCGTCCACCATCACCCTCCACCATCACCCTCCACCATCACCGTCCACCATCACCGTCCACCATCACCCTCCACCATCACCGTCCACCATCACCGTCCACCATCACCCTCCACCATCACCCTCCACCATCACCCTCCACCATCACCGTCCACCATCACCGTCCACCATCACCGTCCACCATCACAAAGAGTCATTGTGCTGCCTCGTGCTCCATAGCCATTCTCCCCCTCTCCCCCTCTCTACCCCTCACCCCCTCCCTACCCCTCTCCCCCCCCTCTCACCCCATTCTACTCATCGCACAAGCAGCATTAGCAGTAACAATCGCTTGAGCAGTACCCATGGCACATCTACTCTTGACGCGCCTTAAACGTCGCTTCTCTGAACCCCCTACCTCTCCACCCACCCCCATGCAGGAACCACGACCCATACAACAAGGCGTTTGAGCGCTACATGTGGCACATCTACATGCCTTCTGAGCTGACATGCACCCCTCCACCTCTTTCTGTCTTCCCCCTCGACCCGTACGACAAGTCCTTTGAGCGCTACCTGTGGTGGCACATCCACGGGGTGATTATTGAGTGCCTTGTGAGTCGACTCATTGCCTTCCCCACCCCTTCACCCACCCCCATGCAGGTACTACGACCCGTACGGCAAGTCGTTTGAGCGCTACCTGTGGCACATCTACATGCCCGTTATAAGACGACGGGACTTCGTTAAAGGCAACCAGGTGAGGATTCGTTTCAAGACAACCAGGTGAGGTTTCTTTATAAGGCAACCAGGTGAGGGCTCGTTATAACAACCAGGAGGACTGGTGTGCACTTTCCCCGCCCCTTTCCCCCCTCCCAGGCATGCACGTGGTTCATTGTGAGCGGCAGTGGTTCGTCCCTCTTCCCCTTCATCTCCCCTCTCCCTTCATCTCCCTTCTCCCTTCCTCTCCCCTCTCCCCTCATCTCCCCTCCCTTCATCTCCCCTCTCCCTCCATCCCCCCTCTCCCTTCTGACTGCACCCTCTCCCACGCAGTGGTTCATCCTGCAGTGCCGACATGCACAGATGGTGGTCTATGCTGGTGTATGGTGGTGTATGGTGGTGTATGGTGGTGTATGGTGGTCTATGGTGGTGTATGGTGGTGTATGGTGGTTTATGGTGGTGGTGGTGGTTTCTCCATACGCTCGGCTCTTCCCCTCTCCTTCCCCCTCCCCATCACCCAGTGGTTCATCCTGCAGAGGCGACATGCACAGATGGTGCTGGCGGACACTGACCACTATGATGTGCACAACCGCACATGCGCTGTGAGTGAGAGCCTTCTGTCATGTGATGTGCTGCTATGGTGCAGTGTAGTGTGGTGCGGTGGGGTGTGGTGTGGTGTGTGTCGTGATGCAGGTCCAGCCGAACCTTCCTCATTGCAGCCTTCTATCCTCTTTCTCTCCTCTTCCCTCCTTCCCCTTCCTTTACTGTCCCTTCCCCCCAGCAGGTGATCCATTCCGCCCCTTGTTCCTCCTGACATATGTAATGAGCTTACTCTCCTCCCCTCCACGTGTACCAGGCGACCCGAACATGTCTTAACTCCCTCGCAAGGGCTCAGTCAGATTGCTCCTGCTTCTCCCTACTGCTAGCTTCCTTTGGCTTAGGAAAACAAGATTACAGTAAGAAGAGAAACATACAAGCAAAAAGCGAGAAGCCAGAGTGCTACCCCGGCTACATTCCCTCCTCCTCCTGCCTAGGAGCCTTCCTTCCCTCGCTAGCTCTAGTGCCAAACGCGAGTCAGCTGAGCTGCTCGCGATGGTTCCAAGGTGCTAGCTGGGCCCCACTGGCCCACTAGGCATGCACTGCCTTCCAGCTGGAATCGAGTTCCTAGCCTGGAATCGCATTCCCAGCTGGAATTGCATTCCCAACCTGGAATCGAATTCCCAGCTGTAATCGAATTCCCCAGCTGGAATCGAATTCCTCCTTCCACACCAACCTCCCTGTAGTCCCCTGCACTCGGCTCTGTAGCGTATATACAGTACATACCACGCACACAAAAAGAAATTAGAGTACATAACCAGAAATGCACCCTTACCTGGCTGCTGTGTAATTCACACCTTAGCCACCGGCTAGGTGTTAATAACGCGACATGTGGTGTGGTGTGGTGGAGACGGATCACAACAACGCGCACAACCACAGATGCGCTGTGAGAGCCTGCTGCTGTGGGATGCCGAGCGGTGCTGTGGTGTGCCAGAGGTCAGCGTGCCAGAGGCCAGCGTGCCAGAGGTCAGCGTGCCAGAGGTCAGCGTGCCTGTAATGCAGGTCAACATATGCACGCGGTGCCAACATCTGTGTCGTGAGAACTCTTCAACTCACATGCCAATCACCCAGTGCTTTCCAGGATTCGTTACCTCTCTCCCATCACACCTGGAAAGGGCTTACTCCCACACACGCAGCCCTACCTTGCGCCCTCTGCTTGCTTGCAGTTCCGCATGCAGTGGGGGCGCTACTGCTGTGCTGACGAGCACTACATTCAGACGCTGCTGCATGTGAGTGTGACTGTATTGAAAAGCTGCTGCGTGCGAGTGTGACTGTATCCAGAGTCTGCTGCATGTGAGCGTGACTATTTCTCCTTCCCCTTGGCCCAGCGCCCCTTACACTACCCATCTCCCTCCCTCGTGCCCCGTGTCCCGCTCATACTACCCGTGTCCCCTCCCCTGTGCCCCTGCCACCTATCTCACCCTTCCCACGGGATGCCAGACGAAAGACCAGTGTGGCAGGTCGCATACGATGACACCACCTGAGTGGCGGCTCAATGCATGCCCCTCTGCTGCTGTTGCCCCTCTGCTGCTGTTGCCCCTCTGCTGCTGTTACCCCTCTGCTGCTGTTGCCCCTCTGCTGCTGTTGCCCCTCTGCTGCTGTTGCCCCTCTGCTGCTGTTGCCCCTCTGCTGCTGTTGCCCCTCTGCTGCTGTTGCCCCCCTGTTCTCTTTCCCCCTTGCTCCCAGACAAAGGACCGGCGAGGCATATCGCACTACCCCACCACCTTCACCGACTGGCGGCTCAACCAGTACCACCCCATGCTGTACCGCCGCCAGAACATCACGGCCAATATGCTCAAATACATGAAGGTATGCCGTGCCACGGGTACAACAATGCTTGTGCCATGGTAGATCACTACTAGTGAAGCCTAATACTGGCCGAACCAGTACCACCCCATGCTATACCGCCACCATAACATCACTGCCAATATGCTCAAATATGTATTGGTGTGGTGTGCCACCGTAAAAAAATAACGAAGAACATAAAGCTATTGCTTTTGTCGTGGTAGCAATCATTACCATAACATAAGAAATCATTACCATGACATACAACTACTACCATGACATAAGCAATCATTACCATGAAATAAGCAATCATTACCATGACATAAGCAATCATTACCATGACATAAGCAATTATTATGACGTAAGCAATCATTACCATGACATAAGCAATCATTATGACATAAGCAATCATTACCATGACATAAGCAATCATTACCATGACATAAGCAATCGTTTTCTGCATGATGCACCCACGCCACCTCCACTGCACAAAACCGATCATGCTATCCAGTGGTAACAATCAGTGCCCACATTGTTCCACACCTCTCACTCCTACCAAATTTCAGTGCATTGCCCCCTCCATAATCTCACTCTCTCTCCATGCATCGACAGTCACTCGTGCGCTTTCTCTCCCATCTGCCCACCCTTGCCTGCAGAGATACATCCATGTCTTGTGCCTTAGAGAATCCTCAACAGTGTCTCCCATGTGCCCACCTTCCCTACCTGCTTATGTGTCTTGTGAGAATATCCACATCTCGTGCTTGCAAGGGCAGAGCCTCACCGCTGCTTCCTTCACGCGCCTTCGCTTCTCAGCTCCTTGTGGTTTCTCCCCTCTCCCTCTTCCCCTTTGTTCCCTTCCCTGGGTCCCATCCCATGTTGCATCCCCTCTGCCCGCGACAGACAACTCAGCAATACATCCAGTTCCGGTCCTTCTGGCGGGAGTTCAAGAGTAACTACACTTACGTGAGTCGCATTCGGTATACTTTAGCGAGCAGCATGTGCATGTGTGAACAATATGAATTTTTAACCAGAGGGCATGATTTGTTGCATTTACATGCTGCCAACACCGTTTCACACCTTCTTGGCCCTTTCATCCATGCCCTATGGAGACTGCAATTGCTCCTATGAGAAGGGATTTTTTTTTTACAAATCGGTGTGTTCACCTTCTACTTCTTGCAGATATTTAACACGTCAGCACCACAACCCCCAAAAGTGAGTTCCATTTCGCAGTATTGCTACACAGAAATACAGGTGTAATAAGTTGTTGCTGGATACAAGGTTGTTTTAAGCATCATAACGTCCAACAAATTCTAAGTACCCCCTTCCCCCTTACTCCAATGATCTGTGTGGCAGACGGTTCAGAATGGATATTGTGTCCTAAAAGGGAAGCCACGGAACTGCTTCTTGTTTGCACGAAAGTTTCACGTGTCCTCGCTTCGTTTTTTACTAAAAAGATCGAAAGAAATTCTCGGGTACTAGTCTGATTCTTACATTATTATCAGGAATATTTGTTTTTACGACTTGGGTTGATTTGGGTGTATATTATCTGTACGATGCACGGCAGGAATGAAGTACAGATTTTCCTAGATGGACTTCATATTCTAGTAGCAATGGTAGTCTATATACTTTTGTTGTCAAATGCAGCAGGTAAAAGTTAGAACAAGAAAAGAGGGTTTGCACTAGCAGACAGTTGAGTACATATAGCAAACCCTAATCTGGGCTGTACTCGCTATAGAGTACCCCATTGCAGGCTAGACAAATATCACATTCTGACACACCCCCATAGTCAAAGTGGGGTATAATCAGCACAGCAAGCAGTCATAGAGCAGGTTCACAAGTACAAGCAAAGCTAGAGGCAATCACAGAGGGCAAGTGAGGAGGAGGAAGGTCTGTGAGAGGAGTGGAGGTAAGAGGCGACGGGTGAAGCCGCAGACACACGGGCAACAGGAGCGGCGCGCACGGTGGCTACCGGAGCAAGGGCCCCGGACTACAGGAGTACCTGGCTCCGCGGCTAAGACGAGCGGCAGGAGCAACTGACCCACGGGCGACTGGCGCAGCAGGCTCGCTGGGCTACCAGTGGCAAGGGCCCCGGACTACAGGCGCTGCGGACGACAAGACGGCTGCCTCCACTCAACCTCCCCCAACTGTCCCACACCCCTTTCACACACCCCCTGCTGTACCCCTAGCACTGCTCACACGCCACCCCCCTAGTACCACTCCGACGGCTCCCACACATCCACCCCCCTCAGCGGCAGCTGCAGCAGTGGGAGACGGAGGAGGAGGAGGAGCAGGGGACGGCGCACACACCCCCACACTCGCCACCCCCAAACCCTAACACAGGCAGCACGGGGCGGCGCACCGGGAGCACAGGGGGCGCGCGCGGGTCCCCAGGGCGGCGCGACGAGAGCGCAGGGGGCGCGCGCGGGTCCCCAGGGCGGCGCGACGGGATGGCAGGGGCCGCGCGCGGGTCCCCAGGGCGACGCGACGGGATGGCGGGGGCCGCGCCAGGCCTCTGGTTAACAGGGTGATTCACCCTTATGACCCTTACTATAAGGCTGGGTTTGAATATGCACCCTTTTTTATCAGAGTGGTCGTTTTTTTACCTTTACAAGAAAAAGTGTTCGGTTATACTACACTGATATTTCAGAGCTAGGTGGTGTAGTAACACTGATGATATTGAGTTAGATCTAACGGAGTAGAGCACAATCCCTCGAGTAATTTGCACTCCCCTTCAAAATTGATCACGTCAGGTCTCAATCCCAGGTGTTCTGCAGAGAATTCCTTGTCACAACTGACTACAATACCAACAGCTAGTCCGCGTAGGAAAATTTCTTTATCAGTAAGCAGAGTTAATTATGTTTGCACCCTTACCAGAAAAAGTAGTTCTTGTGATCTACCCTTACAGAAAAAGTGAAAGCGGGGTGTTGGCCTTACGTGGAAAAGCGGTTCAAAACCTAACCAGAGCCCTGGGCCGCGCGCGGGTCCCCAGGGGCGACGCGACGGTCGACGGGGGGGGGGGACGCGCGGGGCAAGAAACCGCCGCGCGCCTCGGGGCGCACGGCGGGCAGAAAACCGCCGCGCGCCTCGAGCGCGTGGCGGGCAGAAAACCGCCATGCGCCCCGAGCGCGTGGCGGGAAGAAAAAACGTCGCGCGCCACGGGGCGCGCGACAGACAGGACAGCAGCGGAAGCTAACGGTGGGCCCACAGGCCAGGAGCGTAA